GTTGGTAGGGGTCTGACTATAGCCTGAGGCTGGGTGTTGGATGTCGCACCGCCACCAGAAGACTGATCGGATGGTGTCTTCTGGCAGCGACTGTAGTTACCTTGCTGACCTGGGTAGGAGTCTACCGTAGCGGGAATATGAGGAAGGCACCAAGGCTTGAGGGGGGGTTGCAAGGGTTGGCTCAAATCTTAGGAAAGATAATAGGCTAAGCCTTGTTGTGAGAACCAGCACTGTTGGCTGAGGGAGGCCTCTGATTGGTCGAATTTAGGTGCAAAAAGGTAAAAGCTGAAGACCCCTATAAGTACCTTCTAAAGGTCCTTATAAGGGTCTTTCTAATAACCTTTTTAGTGGTGCTCGGGTCTTCCTCGGGGTATTAGATTTTGGCTTCAAAGTCCGGATGAGGGTATTTATACTTCCGCGCGCGAAACTTTTCGCGTAAAGGGAAAAAAGCTATTACCAATTGGAATCGAATTGACAATCCCAAGGGTGAGAGCGACGACAAGAACCATTGAGCCACTGGCCCAGATGATTGAAAGCGGCCTTCGATCTTTCCTCTTATATAGGGTGGTGGAGTTCTGACGGGAAATGAACTTGGGAAAGAATTATTTAGCGACCGTTTATAGCGCACCCAAATCCGACCAATCAAAGGCCTCCCTTGAGTAATAAGGCTGGTCAATTCAACAGTGCTGGGCCGTACAACAAGGCTTGTTAAATTCGCAACCCTTAACCTGTCCCTTTAAGGCTTGTTGCCCTGGGGTTTTTCCCGCTATGGTACTGTGTGTGTTAGCGGTTAACAAGTAGGAATCAATTCATGTACACAGAGTCAGGACTCACTGCTATATTGGTTGAAGTGGGCACTCTCCTACCCGGGCCCGCAATGTCAACATACATCGAGGGGCTCTTCCGGGACTGGTTCAGTCCGAATTGGTGGTGAATTGGCCCGCCGTGTTGCCTCGTCATCTTCTCAGCCGGTAAACCCTTTTGAGAAGACCAGCTCGCAGGTTCTGGTGGTGCCTGCGCGGGCGCGGACATGCTGAAGAATCTACCGAGCCTGTCTGCCGTGGATCCGAAGTAACGGATAGGGGTATTTGAATCGGCATTATGGCCTGGCGGCTACAGAGAGCACTGTTGGGTGTGCTCATGAACTGGCCGGGGAAAGCGAAAGCGCACTGTCGAAGTAGCCCAGCAAACCGGGAACTCAAGCCGGTTGCCAGCTCCTCCCCGGAGGGCGTTCTTCCTTGGCGGACGGACTTTCTTGTTGGGCCAAGCGAACTTGATCTTCTTGAAGGGCTTGGTGATGCCACGGGTGATGAACCTCTTCATGAAGCAGATAGTTCAGGGTCATAAGGGTTCCGACTAGCGCACCTCGCCGCCTTCATCCTACTGTAGTTGGAGTTCTGTGGCGGGTTTGGCGTGCCGTGTCCCGCTGACGCGTTGCCGCCATACAACACGAGGAATTCGCTGGTCGTCACCGATCCAACTACTAGTCTGACCGTCGGTGGTCATGGTGATGGTGATGTGGGGACTTGACCCGCCGTTCGTCTTGAAGAACTTCTCGTCCCTAGGTAGTTCGGAGTATCAGCGTCCACTCAGCCTTGGTCATCAAAGGAGTGTGAACTTACTCTTGGCCGTCCATGTTGACAATGGCGTTCTCGGCATCAACGTCACAGTCATCGGTCCTGTCCTGTAGGGGCCCGTTCTCCTAGCGCAGCTGTAGCACAGAAAACGCTTTTCTCTCTTCCTGTACGTGCGCCGCATTTCCAAGTCCAAGACGGCAAGCTTTGCAGACCAGGGGCAGTGGCTGTGGGTGTGGCCGTGACCGTGGCCAGTGATGCTGCGCGTGGTGCCGTCCATGTTGGAAATGGCGTTCTCGGCATCAGCATTGTTGGCGTAGCGAACGAAGGCGAAGCATCTCCATAAGCATGCCACCAAGCCAAGGGAGAAGCTTCTTGGCGCAATGGTCAGTGTAAACTGAGGCCATGCTGATCGTTATCTTCTTGCTCAGCCGCGCCCGCGCGAGCGGAAGCATTAGCACCCAGTTGATGCTGCTCACGAGGAGACGCGGCGACCGGGAGGGTCGAGCTTTGGTGGGATAAGAGTCAGCAATGAGCACGTTCTGAGATGGAGTCCAGCATCTTGAGGGTATGCTCGGTTCAGGGAACGCAGGGTAATGGGAGCGTGTGTGATTTGGGTAATGGTAGTAGATAGGTACCAACCTAGAGGTAGCTAAGGTACCTTGGAGGTGAGTCTGGTCTAAATTTTGGGTGGGTATGAGAGAAAAAGAAAGATGCAAAACGAGAAGGAGCGGGAAAGGGATAAGTAGCCGAAATGAGTGATAAAAGTTTCATATTCCCGTGACCGATGAAGGTGAGAATGAAGTACCTCTAGGCGGGGTAGAATCGAAAAGAATCACCTTTCGCGTACCTTATGAAACGGGGCAGTGGTCAAAAGTAGAGGCTACAGGTAGACATTTGCCCAATCGTGTCGCTCTCAGGCACCCGTGACCTCAAATACCTGCGGCCTTCTGAAAGACTGACACTCATAGCCACATAGCCACACAGACTGGGGCGGCTCAACAAAACGGGGAGACAGAGCCTCAACGAACACTCACGACGACCAGGCACTCAACCAGGCAACCACCACCAGCCACATGAGTGAGTGTACGTCCTTCCATCCTTCCGTTGTACCCCTCCTCCTCTTTGACGCCTCCCCTCTTTCCTCCCTCATTCCCCTTTCATCCTTCCTTCCACCCCTCCTTCCATAGAAGGTACCTATTTTCCCTCCCTGTTCGTTCACCTTTCTCTTCTTCGGTCCCGACTTCTCTTTTCGCTGCCCCAATTTTGCAATTCGCTTGCCGTGCGTTCGGAGGTTGTCGTTATTTTGTGCTATCTGGTTTTCGTTTGATGGTGGCGGTCCGAGACTGGATGGAAGCACGCTTGTTGGACACTCGATTCTGTTGAAGTGATCAAGGGTATAATGCACACTCTGAGCTCTGATAACGCAGTGCCTCCTTTTTAGCAAGCCGTGTTTGCCATTACCTATTCGAATTCGCCTGTGTCAATTTGTCTGCTGGTGGTCTTGCCCACAATATGTCATGATGTTGTGACTTGTGAAATCCGTCAACTAATGGTATCGGCCGTTCCTTGAACCAGGCCCATCTCTCGGTTGGCGTCTTTTCACCATCGCAAGTGTTCGTAGCTCCAAAACTGAGTGTCGCGGCTCAAGATTTGGAGGGCCAGGCAAGGCTCCATTTGTCAAAATGTCGGGGAGCAATGCATGGAAATAGTCGTAGACACAAGCATCGAAGCTCATCAGGAATGAACATGAAGGAGACGTGTGTCATACATGGACCTTGGGTGTTTCCTTCAAGGAGGTCATCACCTTCCACATGTTATTTACAACCGTTGGCATGCATCATGCATCCGTTGGAAACAGGCAATTCTTCTTGCAGCCGGCAAGCCGCCTACATCAGAGCACATGCATCAAGTACCAAACAAGTGTACCACACCTCAACAGCTTCTTCCACAACCTTATTCTTCCGAAGGCGAGACGATTGCGAGCGTCCAGGACAGCAAGTCCTCTGAGCTACCGAGACCAGCCAGCAACAATCTTTGCAATCCAATGCTTGATCGCATGTTTCCGACGCAGATCCGAAGACAAGACCTTGGTCATCGCCGTTCCATCTTGGAAGCGACGTTTGTGCTCCCTCTCGTACTTCTCGGCCTCCTCCCTCTCGTGCTTCTCCTGCTCCTCCATGGCTACAAGCTATCCTTCCCTCTGTTCAAAACTAGTGTCCGTCCTCTTCTTCCAGGTTCCCGCAGCGAACAGACCCTAGAGGCCCGATCGAGGTCGAGCTGCCTTGGTGCCTCGGAAGAGGATTGCCACAAGGCACTCAGGAGGCCTTGTCGTATCTGCTAACACACAGAATCAGCCTATTTTCTTCAATTGAGGACGAACTGAACTGGAATCAAACTTACGTACCTCTGCCTCTTCGGCTTGCTGGCCTTCTTTTGCGCGGGTGAAGCGCCTCTTGGCTGGGATACCCGAAGGGAAGTTTGAGCGGGAAACAGGAAAGCGACTGGACTAGTAGGCTGAACGGGGCCCTAGGTAGCAAGCTGTGCCCTGGGATGGGTCAGTTGCTGCACGGCAAAGTGTTTCGAGACGTGCGACGCGGGGGAAGATGGCGGGGCTGAAGACACTGGCACGGCAGGCGTCCAAGAATGACTGTGTCATAAGGAAGATGGCACATACGTGAATGAAGGGGCTCGAGCAAGGCTCTTGTTGAGCTCTGTGGTTGCTTCTCTTGTTGTTGCTGTGATGATTGTGGTTGTGATGGTTGTGGTTGATGCACGGTAATGGTGATTGGTGGCGGTGATGGTGATGGTAGAAGATGGAGAAAACGATGGAGAAAAAGAACATCAAGAGAGGATTAGGACGAGGGGTGTCGGAGGGTTAAGTAGCCTTCAAGGCCCGTTTGTTCCTGTTCAGTGTACTCAGGGGGGTGGCTACCTGATTCTAATGACCAACCAAATCCAGTCTTCCCAGCAGTCAACCGCTCGAGGAAGACAATTTGGAAAAATCTCACGGAAGGAGCAGGAGCACCTGGAAGGCAGCTCGATCTTCAGAGTCTGGCTCTCCCCAATGGAATCTCCAAGCAGAAAAAACGGGTACGTACCCCCCAGTGTCTGCCCCTCTCCCCCTCGCCGGTCATGTACTAGTTATCTCTCCGGAAGGCATTTTGCAAACTCTTATCGAGGAAGGAGCAGAAGCAGGCACTCACCGAGTCCCATTCCCTTCTCATACAAGCACCTTGGTACATCTACCCTCGGGCATGGAAGGAAGGGCACGTACCCCCGAGGCCCCAGTGCCCGCAGTACCCCGTGGTGTGTCCCCCCCAGCGCCCAGTCTCCTGTCCCGCTCTCTGCCGCTCCCTAGGTGCCCTGCCCTTCGTGGTATATGTACCAGATCTTTGTATTACCGTTTCAACAAACAACCCAACAGCACGGTTGGCGCAGTGGTATAACGCGTGCACTTCAGAACTTTGTATTGCTGAGGGCCCTGGCAACCCCGAGGACGCAAGTTCGAACGAGGCAAAGCCGGTGGTGGCACACCGGCAGTACAAACAATGTGGTGCGAGACCCGGGTTCGAATCCCGGACTGTGCAATACCTTTTTTCCCACTTTTTTTATAATTCTTTTTGTGGTTTTGGACTTGTCTTTTGTTTTGGTTGTGTTGTATGATGGGTGGTCTTGAGGCTGTCGTGGGTGTCACTCTGTTAGCTGTTGTGCCGGGCTGCTATGCTACCCCGGGCTTGGTCCAGACTTCCCTCTGTTTCTCTTGTGGGCCACTTCTTGAGTCAGGAGGGGCACTTGTCAAGGGAGTTTGCTGCGGTGTCCAATACTGGATGGCAAGTGTACCAGTCCGTGACAATTGGAGTGGACGATGGTCGGAAGGCGAGATTATCTCTATATCTTCGCGGGTTAAATGAGAGCTTTTAGACTTCAAGACTTAATTAGCTACCTCCTTTCCTGCTTTATCTTCACACTTACCTTCTGTCTCACAGAAACGTTTGACCTAGGTGCCCTTGGTCTGTTGACCATATTATGACACCAGGTGGGAACATCCAATGGTGCAATGTACTGTCCCAAATCTCACGCATCGACAAGGGAAGTGAAGGTGTCAAAGGCTTCTTGTCTGTCAAGTGTCACCGACGATAATAACAAAGAAAAGGAAGCCCATTGTGCATCTGCTACTTCATAAACGCGGAAGGATGAAGCAAGCAAGGACTCCTACGGAGAACACCGAAATCGAAAAGGAGGACCGAACCTCCAACTAGGAAGTTTGTCTTAATATCCGATTTACCATTCATTCATTCATTACCTGCTGGACAACCTACACAGTACACACGTGGTTCGTGGACTACTTGAAGAAGGCAAGTCGACGAAATAAGTACCAAAGCAGTGTCTTGTTCAGATATGTGATGGATGGGAACTCATGGAGATGAGTCAGATGACAAAGATCAAGCCATGTCCACGGGCCCCGTCCTAGGAACCTAACTCAAGCGATTTAGTTTCGAGTCTAGAGCTACATACCTAATGGATTCTACTACATCTTTCCCTTCCTGTTGGTTGGGTGGTTGAGTATCGAATACCTTCCATAGTAATATTCCAATATTAAAAGCTAATGAGAAATATGACTTCCCTAGACTCCGACGAAAGCTCTTTCTTCTAATTAGTCTAGGATTAAATTATATAACGGAAGCGGAGAGGGGAGAGGAAAACCGGTATGGGCAACCGTGCCCCCAAACAAGTTAGTACCCGAGAAGAAAGTGTCCGCACAGTGAATGGGCGCCAAAAGGTCTGGGCGGCTGGCGAACTTGAACAGAAGATGCCAGGTGGCGATCCCGCGATGGCAATGGGGTGATAATGGGGTGGTAATGCGGGCACCTGCAGTGAATGAGAAACAACAAGACAAAGGCTATCATGGTCAGTCGGTGTTTGGAGGACATGGACATGGACTGGACCTGAGGCAAAACGTCGGTCAGCCTGTGGCAGGGGCAGCTAGCTGGAAATCAGATAACTTGCCTACTACCTATGGAATCTTGGCGATGCTACTTCAGGTTGACCTTTTCATATTTTTTTTTTCTGGAGTTAGTTGAGGCTTTGGTTCCGTAGGGAGGTATGTGCGCTTTTGTGGCGTTGGATATTGAATATCTCTAGATAATAAACTTGAATTGGGGTTAGTTAAGTGACATAGGAGAGGACTCAGAGGAGGGAGAGAGAAAGCGCCTCGCTGTATGGTTTTTTCTCGTTCGGGCATTACATCAGCGACTATACATCTTAGAGGTAGGTACCTGTCATTCTGTTTCGAGGTCACAATCAACGGAATTCAAGATACCTTACCTATACCAGAAACCACAGAGAAATAATTTCCTACCTAATCACCTTGCACTCATCGCATATCGCAAAACTTGGATACCTTACCTACCTAGTCCTGATTAGGTAAGGTACCTTGGGTATCTTTATGTTGCTTTCAAGTGTCCCTCCGTAGCGTCAGTTTGCTCCATACCTACCCTAGACATCAGGCCATCCATCCATCGATGATTTAGTTAGTTACCTAGTTGGTAGTCTGGTGTTGAGAGCCACTTCGGCTACCTAAGGTACCTTAGGAACCACGATTAAAGGAGCATATTTGTACCTACCTACCTTAGCTTACCTTACCGTTATTATATGCTTTTCGAGAGTACCTTATTACACCGGTTCACGACTATGATCAATCAGCTATCTGGGCGAGAAAAGAAATTCCTATGCCATGTTCATTACATGTAAGTAAACTTGACAGCTGAATGTATTCTACATCTAATCTGTTGGTTGTCTGGTACCTACCTAAAATGACCAATTCAAATTCCGCTAAAACGCCGTATGCCAACCGAAGCCCAGGAGAGTACCTTATCTCTCTCTCCCATGTGCTAATATGCTTGCTTCTATCTATACAGTATACACCCATACTCCAAAGTGATACTCCGTAGATCATGATACTCTAAACAATGATTGATGCATTCAACCATACCGATTGCCGGTTGATAATTTGCCCTGTCCTTCGCTTGCCGTGCACAGTGAGTGTACTTTCCTCCAACATGGCCTCCTCATTTGGAGAACTTAAACACATCCTAAGCGCTCCCTCGCATTGAACTCAACATCATGGCCGCCTCCTGCCTCAGCTGTTCCTCAGCCGACCAACCCGGCGGCGGCCAACAACCTGGTGCTTGTCCCTGTGCCTGTGCCTGTCCCTGTCCAGCACCCGGTCCTGACCCCTGCCCTTCCGTCGTCTGCCCCAAAGTCCCAGACCCCATTCCGACAGCCTGCTGTTGCCCCTCTTGTTCGTGCGGCGGCCCCTGCAGCCTTATCTCCTCCAGCCTCTGCTGCTGCCAAGCTTGAAAAGGAGTATAAAACCTCGCCGGAACGCCCCTAGCGGGCAGGATTGTCGAGAATGGCAATGGAGGTTGTACAGCAGCGCCTTGGACGGCTAGCTGAGCAAGGGCTGCTGCGCTGAGGTCGCCCCCCATGGGTACAGGTAAGCGTTGGCGGACGCGGCGGGCGGCTTCGATCCAGGGGTCGTCGTCTACTTCGGGTTCCAAGGCTTCGGCTTCGGGTGCGGGTGCGGATACGGATATGGGTGAGGGCTCTGGGATGCCTAGACCCATACTCTGTTGCTGTGTCTGCTCCGGTTCTGGTTCCTGTTCCTGATCATGGGAGGGCCGCTTTTGCGCTTCCATGCATGGCCGGAAAAACATGTCGAGGGCGGTGGTACTCCAATACCTAATTGGGTAGTCCGCTGGTGGTAGGGGCACGGCTTGCTGATACTGAGACTGAGATTGGGGGGGCTGTTGCTGTTGATCCCCCCACCGAGGAGGGAAACTAAAATGCGAAGCTAGCGGGTCCGAGTAGAAGAATGGGTTGCGGCCTGTGTATTGCGGCTGACCCTGTGTTGGGACCTGCTGTTGCTGATGTTGGCACTGGTCCACCGGTTGCTGACCCTGTTGCTCTTGGCCCGGTGGCTGGTTCTCCTGGTCGTTGTGTCCCTGTTGTTGATGCACTGAGCCCATCCTACCTCTTGGTCCGTTAAACCCAATCGGCGGGCTACCAACATTGGGACTCAACACGTTCTCTGACAACGGTCCGGGTGTATCAAACTTGGGCTCCAACACCTGCAGCTTAAGCAAGTCATTGGCAGGCCCAGTCTTGGCTCTCTTCCTGGACCCCTTGCTGGTGGTTGAACTTCTGCGCGGGACGGTAGTCTGAGCATTGTTGAGATTCCTCATGTTCAGCGGCGGTAGCTGATGTTCGTTGACGGCTTTGTTTTGAGATGGCTGTGGACTGGAGGCGCGAGTGGAGGCGGCTGACTGCGTACCAGAAGCAAGCTCATGGTACCTAGCGATGAGCCGATCTGTCTCTTCGAAGCCGGCGTCATATTTGTCAACGACCTCCACTGCAAGGTTGGCAAGAGGTGTGGGTGTGAAGATGGCGGTCGTATGGATCGCCGTATGAGGCGGGATGCTGGCCCCGCTGTTGGTTCGGTTACGAGGAGCTTTCGGTTTAGGTTCCGGTAGGGCTCGGTTCTTGGGTATCGTTGCTGGTGCTAAGGTTGGTGTCTGCTGCGGTGCCGGAGGCTGAGCAAGTTGAGGGGTCTTGGAGCGCGGACGCTGGGGTGCCTTGATGGGCATGTTAACCGGGACGGCAGTAGCATGAGGATGATGTGGTGGTGGGAGAGCGATCTCTGTCCCATCCTTATCGAGAGAGACGCGGGTCTCGACACCCCGGATCATTTTCCATGTGACGTTCCGTTTTCGCTTGCGGGTCTTAACCGCAGCTGTAATGGAATCGGCTTCAACGTCTCCCTGAGTTTCGTCGCCTTGATCTGGAGGGTTGCCACCACCAGCGTCGTTGGCCGACACCTTGATGGATGGTTGGCTATCCTCTTTAGGCTGGGGCTTCTTCCTCCCCGTCACTTTCGGTTTATCCTTCTCATCAAGAGACCTTGACTCGTGCGGGTTGGCAGTGACCTTCCTCCCCTTATTCCTCGACTTGTCCTTCACAGTCGTTTCAACCGGAACAGCAACACGAACAGGACCAGGCACCTGCTTCTCCCCTTCGCTGTGCAAATTCCTGATGACTTCGAGACTACCCATAATTCTCCAAACCAGGTGTGCCGCGTTGTTCTTATGATCGCGTACAGACGCTGGCCGTTTTGCACCGGGGTTGAGTTTGGGCTCCCTCGGGGGTTTCGTTGGTCGTCTGGCAAGTGCCTTCAAAACAGGTAACGGGGGCGGCAGCATCTCTGTCTCGGCTGTTTCCACCAATTCCTGGTGATGTCTCATTTCCTCAGGAGTAACCTTGTGCGTCTTCAAGGCGCTTAGAGCCTCAATGGCAAGCTGGTCCTGAACGGTGCTAGCCGCCTCGACCAGTGCTTTCAGTCCCTTGTCATTGTCGCTCTCCCTCCTCCTCCTATTTGATGTTGGTGGCTTGTCGGTCTTGTCAGCCTGCTTTGGCTCTTGGGCCTTGTCCTTCTCGGCCTTGTCTTTTTCGGCAGCCTTCTCGCTGTTGTCGGTGGTCTTGTCAACTGCCTTGTCGGCCTTCTTCTTGCCAGTCTCCCCACCACCACTAC